ATTTTCCTGCAAATTGAAAATTGGAGAAAGACCAAATTAGAGTTTATGTTCCTCTGTGCTTCTCAAGGTACCTCAGTAGCCTTGAGCTCAAAAAGAAAGCACTCCCCCAGCATTGCCCTCAAAACAAAACAAAAGCCCAGGAATGTTCCACTAGGGCTTCTGTCTATTGAGATGGGTTTTCTTGGGTGTGAACTGAGAAGACAGAAAGACTTATAATAGAAAAAAGCTTTGTTTTTTTCAGAAAGTGAGAAAACTTGGTGGAGGATGGAATCAAAGCTGGTTGTGAAAACTGTCTCATCTCATACTACCATGTCACCAGGATGACAGGTCATATTTTGAGGGCCTTCGAGACTGCAGAAAAGACTCCCAGGCTGAGCACAAGCCTTAAGCCTCTAGAATATGCTGGTTTTCTAAGCATTCGCCAATCTGGTTCTTATCAGTTACATTTTTTCTCCTACTCCTTCCATACCTTATTCGCTCTATGTGATTTTTGGCAAGTGAGTTTACATCTAAAGACATTTTCACATCTCTAAAGTAAGAACAAGGTAATACAGAATCACTGTAACCATAAGTCCTATAGAACAGGATTCTATTCCAGATTGTCGCAACCTTAATATTTAGACTACTAACTGGGCAACTTTTTAGATTCTATTCCAAATTCCCTCAAACACTTTCTAACATTGACAGACAAATTCCCATAGCCCCAATCTTCCTCTTTAAAATAAAATCACTGGGCTGGGCACTATGGCTCCTGTCTGTAATGTCAGAACTTTAGTAGGCCAAGGCAAGAGGATCACTTGGGTAAGGAGCTACAGAATGAGTTTGGAAGTATTTCCTCCTACATTTTTCAAAATAATTTGAGTAGAATTTTGTTGAGAAACATTAAGTTTACCCTGCCCCCATGGCTCCTCTGTGGACGGTACCTTTTAGTTTGTAATTAGTGGTAGGCAGGTAATAGCTGCCTACTTGGTATATTCTTGAGTTATGTGTATATGTAGAACACCTGTGTATTAATAGGAATCACCTGTCAAAGAGCAAATAAATGCGTGGATGAATCTCTGCTGGGGACCTTCAGTCTGGAGCGATGTCAGCCCTGCAGGATCTCAGGCTGTTTGTCCCCAGGATAAATCCACTCTGTTTTGCTGTCTGGGTGTCTGCCTCTCAATACCTTCAGCCCACCTGGGTGGGGGTCTCCCTACCAAGCTGGTTTCTCGGTAGGATTTGTGTTAGTTCTTCTTTAAATGTTTGGTAAAATTCAGCAGTGAAGCCATGGGTTCTTGAGCTTATCTTTGCTGGGAGACTTTTTATTAGGGCTTCAAACATGTTACTTATTATTGGTTAATTCAGAATTTAGATTTCTTCATAGTTCAAGCCTGGGAGTTGTATGTGTCTAGAAATAGGTCCATTTCTTTTAGACTTGCCAATTTAATGGCATATTGTGGTTCACAGTGGTCTCTAATGATCCTTTGACTTTCTGCAGTGTCAATTGTAATGCCTCCTTTTTCATTTCTGATTTTTTGTCTTCTCTCTCATTTTTAAAAATTCTGACTAAAGGTTTGTCACTTTTATCTTTTCAAAAGGTCAACTGTTTGTTTCATTGATCTCTTCAATTTCATTTATTTCCACTCTGATGTTTAGTATTTCTTTTCTTCTACTAATTTTGAGTTTGCATTGTTTTTGCTTTTCTAGTTCTTTAAGATGCAGTTATGTTGCTTAATATTTTTTTCTACTTTCTGATACAGGCGCTTATGCTGTAAAATTTTCTCTTAGTACTTCTTTTGCTGTATCACATAGGTTTTGGTATGTTGTTTCCATTATCATTTGTTTTAAGACATTTTAATATTTTCTTCTTAATTTCTTCATTGACCACTGGCTATTCAGGAACATATTGTTTAATTTCTACGAGTTTGTATCGTTTCCAAAATTCCTCATTATTGATTTCTAATTTTATTCCTTTGTGATCAGAGAAGATACATGATATAATTTCATTTTTTTTGAATTTTTTAAAGTTGTGTTTTGTGGCCTAACACAATTTATCCTTGAATGATTCATGTGCTGAGGAAAATAATGTGCATTCTGCAGCTGTTGGATGAAATGTTCTGTATCTATTAGATCCATTTGATCTATAGTGCAGATTAAGTCTGATATTTCTTTGTTAATTTTCTATCTGGAAAATCTGTCCAATGCTGAAAGCATTTCTGCTTGATTATTTTTAATTATTTCAATCTCTGTGTTAAATTCACCTGATAGAATTCTGAATTACTTCTCTTTGTTTTCTTGAGTTTTGCTGATTTTCCTCAAAACAGCTGTTTTGAATTCTCTGTCTGAAAGATATATCTCTATCCCTCCAGGATTGGTCCTTGGTGCCTTATTCTGTTTGTTTGGTGGAGTCTTGTTTTCCTGAATGGTTTTGATGCTTATGGATGTTTGTTGACGTCTAGCTGTGAGATTTAGGTATTTACTATAATCTTCACTGTCTGGGCTTGTTTGTACCAGTGCTTCTTGGGAAGGCTTTCCAGGTATTTGAATGGATTTAGTTGTCATAATTTAAGTTTTTGGTCACTGTAGCCGTATCTGCATTAGGGGGTACCCCAAACCAGTAATGCTGTGGGTCTTGCAGATTCATAAAGGTGCCATCTTGGTGGTCCTGGATAAGATCCAGAAGAATTCTCTATATTACCCGGCCAGACTTATTCTCTTCCCTTATTTTCTCCCAAATAAATGGAGTCTCTTTCTTTGTGCTGAGCTGCCTGGAACTGGGGGAAGGGTGACACAAGCCCTTCTGTGGCCACCGCCACTAGGAAAGTGCTATGTCAGATCTGAAGCTAATCCAGCACTGGGTCTTGCCCAAGGCCTTTGGTAACCACTGCCTGACCATTGCCTATGTTCACTTAAGACCCTAAGACTCTAAAATCAGTCACCTTCCATTCAGGGTGGCAGAATTCCTTATGGCCCCAGGCAGGCCCACAGATACCATCTGGGAACCAGGACCTGGAGTCGGAAAGCTTAGTAATCTACCTGGTGCTCTATTCTACTGTGGCTGAGCTGGCACCCAAGCCACAGACTAAGTTCTTCCCACTCTTCCCTCCCTTTTCCACAAGCAGAGGAGTCTCTCCCTATGGCCACCACCACCCCAGGCCCATCGTGAGAACCACCTGGCTACTACTAATGTTCACTCAAGGCCTAAGCCTTCTTCAGTCAGCTTGCGTTGAATGCTGGCAGGCCTGGAACTCTACCTTCAGGGCAGTGGGCTCCTCTGGCCCAGGGAAGGTCCATAAATGCTGTCCAAGAACCAATGCCTGGATCAGGGACCTCAAGAGCCCAGCTGGTCCTCTATTCCACTGTGGCTGACCTGGTACCTACAGTGCAAGACGAAGTCCCATTTACTCTTCCCTCTCCTTTTTTTCAAGCAGGAGCCTCTCTCTGTAGGCACTGCAGCTGGGAATACGCAGGGTCATATTCCCTGGTGAGTACTGCCTGGCTATCACTGCTGACTACTTAGGGCCCAAAAGCTCTTCAGTCTGCAAGTGATGAATCCTGTCCAGACTGGGTCCTTCCTTTCAAGGAAGTGGGTTCCTTTCTGGCCCAGGGTGTCTAGAAATGTTGTCCAGGAGGTAGGGCCTGGAGTGGGGGCCTCAGGACTCTGCCTGTTGCCCTATGCACTATGGCTGAGCTGGTATCCAAGCTGCAAGAAAAAGTCCTCTCTACTTTTCCTCTCCTTTCCTTAAAAGGAAGTAATCTCTCCTGAAACTGTAAGGTGTGCTATGTGGGATTGAGTGAAAGGTGGCACAGATACTCCTTTGGCCAGCCTGGTTGGTGTCTCACTAAGTCATGCGTCTTCCAAGTCCACTGGTTCCAAACCCAGCCCAGCACCAAGACTTGCCTAGAAATTGCAGTCCTTGTGGCCTAGACTGCCTTTCAAGCTTATTTAGGACCCCAGAGCACTTCAGCCTGTGGTGGCATGGGGGGCTAAATTCAGGTTCTGACCACTGGGATAAATTATTTATCTGGCTGGGGCTGGTCTAAATGCTCCCTCCATGGGCACTGGGTTCTACCTGGTGTTGCTTTCTGCTGTGACAGGGCAGCACTGAGTTTTAATGCAGTCCCACAATCACTGTACTCTTCATCCCCCAAGTGCACATTCTCTCGCCACATCATGTGGCTGCTGTGGGGGAGTGGTGGTACCAGCAATTCAAGATGGTTTTTCCTACCCTATTCAGTGCCTCTTTCAGTGATAGTAAGTTAAAACTAGGTACTGTGATCTCTCATCTGATTTTTGGTTCTTATGAAAGTGCTTTTTTTAAATATGGACTATTCAATTTGGTGTTCCTGTGGGGAGGATGAGTGGTGAAGGTTTCTGTTTGGTCACCTTGTTTGGCCTCCACTGCGAAATGTTATTTTTAAAGTGATTATTTACAATATTAAGGTAAAAGAAAAACTTAGTTTTTAAAATGTAACAACATAGACTTTGTGAATGACAAAGTTTTCTATAAAAGTATTGTAGCTTTGGAGTTATCTCCATACTCCTTGTACTCCTTACGCAGTTGCATAAGATGGCTCCAGTACTTCATAAAATAAACTAAGGGCAAATTAAGATACGATCTGATGCTCTCTAGGGAGATGTTCTGAGGAGGGAGGGATAAAGAAGACTGAACATGGCGAACCGTAGCCCACCCAGAGCGCTGAATTTGTGACAGTGAAATAAACCTACACTTCAGAAAGTGCTCTGAGAACTTACCATAACTCATTCCTCTATCCTTTGTAAGTAGCAACCTGGAGGGCAGCATCAGGCAGAGCTTTTTAATTAGGCAGCTATGTATTTTGTCAAAAAGTTTACTAAGCAGTTGGCTAAAAGTGATTATCTTGAGCTGCACTAACTCTGATTAGTATCAATTAAACATCTATGGTTCTGCAGAAAGCTCAAAGATGGTCAGCTATGTGCCAAAGCACAGACCAATGGCTACCAATACACAAAGTTAGCACAGATATAAACCACATAGTTTGTAGAAAAAGTTTATTTAATGGGGACAGTAAGACTATGTAAGATGGTTACTAGAAAAACCTCTTTCAGTCTGGATAAATACACAACAAAGGATCATAGTTGAAATATCAGTGACCTTTACAAGAAGAAAGGTGGTCAGCCTATGGAATTTTCCTTTTGGTAACCTTAAGAAGTCATTTTAGCAGTACTAACCATATAGTTTATGTGAGGCACTGTAACAAATGCTTTACAAGTGGTGCTTCGTTTAGTCTTCATGAGTCTGAGGTAGGTACTATTAAATGTCCCCATTTTACAAATAAAAACATTGAGGTTAGCGAGGCTACAGAAGGTACCTGAGGTTTGGGAAGTGTAGAACCAGGATCTAAATCTGGAACTCCTAAGCAAAAAAAGTGTTTTAATAATCAAAATATATAGCTTTACTACATTAGTAAAATTTAAAATTTGTTTTTGTTCATTGTTCACTCTGCATGTTTTAAAATGTAAGGATTATAGCTTGTCTGTTAGGACAAACTCTCTAACTTCTAATTGATGGCTAGCCAAACATATCTTCAAAAAATAACTGTTATAATAACACCTTAGTTTTTGACAACCAAAACAACATATCCAGAAAAAAATAAATTCCTTAACAGATCATTTATTAGTAAATCTTTAATAGCTAGCACTAATCTTTGCCCAAATGAGGTAAGGCCTCCATTTCTGATTGGAATAATTTATTCTTTGGCCCACATAAAATCTTAGGCTACTGAAAATAAATACCATGTTTGTCTTCTGATTTTCTTAATAGTAACGAGTTTTTTATGTCGTAGGTACTCAAAAGTCAACTGAATCAACTAGGTAAAGCTGAAGAGGATAAGGTTTTAGTCTCGGTCTGCTTTCAACACTCTGAATATAAATGATTCTAAAATAAACATTAGGTGGTTCTATTTAGCTGTTTTCAACTTTATATTATAAAAATGGTTTAAAGTCGAGAGATTATAAAAAATGGATACCTCAATTCAAAGATATATCTAAAATGCAAAGCAGGCCTATTTAAATATTTCCAAAATTAGTATAACTTTCAAGGGAACTGGAATTGGCGTTTTCTAGCCACTATATCTTTCCAATTTATTAGATAATGACAGGTTTTGCAAGTAGCTAGTAGAGTTAATTTGGCAAAGGTGAAAGGGAATCTGCTGTATTTATCAATCTTGGAAAAGTCTGCTATATTTCCTCTGGTAGAACATAATCAGGGATGGAAGTAATCCTGTTTGGTGATTATGGGGTGATATTGCCATCTAGTGACCATTTATCGCTGCAAGTGATCTCCTTTTTCTGAGTTACTCGGTAATGAGGAGACAATAATCAGATGCATACATTTAAACACTCAAATTTACGTCTCACTAAATTACAAAGTCCTTGAGGAAGGGATCATGGCTACTTATTTGCTTTCCTGCAAGTATTTGTTAATATTGACATGAGAACATGTTCTGGACCCACTTACATAAGCATATGAGAAAGAATGTTTCATTCCTCATTCCCTTCACCTTCCCCTGCCCCTAACTCTTCTGCTACTCAGGCCTGCTTAGAAGCTGCCAACTGTAAAAATTGTGCTGGGACTATCTCAAGTAAGTTTCTGTTTTCATGACCACATTACCAATGTAAGTGGCACAACACAGATGATTAATTAATCAAGTAATTAAGTAAATTATGCATTACTGGCTTATCTTTACTTCTTAAGAAAAATAAGGCAGTGAATTCCTCCAGCTGCCAAATAAAATGCAACCAAGTTGTCAGCAGAATTTCAGAAACATCAATATAATTATTCTAATAGCTATATTTTATTGAATGCTTATAATATGCTAAACATTGTTCTAATTGCTATATGTGCACTGTATCATAATCCTCAAAACAACTGAAGGAGTTATAAATCTAATTTTAACAGTAAGAAAACAATCTAGTAGGTAGAAAGGCTAGAATTTGAAACCAAGTAATCTACCCATTTTTGGTAGAAAACAGAAAATAACAAAAATGTTGATATTTAGATTTTTAAAAATATGCAAATAGTTATTTAACTTTAGTTACCTGAATTACTTTGAAAAATGGATTGCTTTGGCAGATAATTATTCTTGGCAAGACACATACCCAAATTTATAGATGAAAGAGTTTATTTATCTATTTGTTAATACATAATGGCCTTGGCCCAAAAAAGACTAATTGGGGCTAAAAGAGGAATTACAGTAACTTCAAAAAATATATTAAATATATCCAAGATCCTAAATATATTATTCTCCCCAAAAGCTAGCTGCTTCCAAACTTGATTTGATATTTTGCATGTTTTCCCTACGTTGCTTGGTAAATATACTTGCTTCTCCTTTCTGCAGTCGATGTCTGACAGCTGATTTTTGCTGTTTTGTTAACTGACGTTTCACCTTCTGTTTCACCAGTTCCTGGAAAGATTTCATAAATTAGTATTACTGATAATGAACCATTTCAAAAAGTACACTGCTAATACCTTTTATATTTGTATGTTGACAGCATGAATTTTTAAGATTCCAAATACTGACAGTACTATATAGAAACTGTTATATAGGAGAAGTTAAATTTCAAATAGAAATACAGATTATATAGCAGAAAATACAGTGTATAGGCAGAATTTTCAAAAAACTACCATAGTGCCACCTAGTGTGCATCATAAAAACTGATGGAAAAAACGAGATGAAAACTGCTTGTTCCTCTCTGCTTTTTAGGTTAAAAGTAGGCTTTTTGAATAGATTTTGTAATAGAAAATTATTTTTGAAAGCATTCAGTATTGCTCAATATATCCAAGAATGACTTCACAATTTCAGTTGTAGAAATGACCTGATGGTGGCAATTATCCATGAAAAAGGCTTCATATATCATAAATTCAGGTTACTTATTAGTTAAGACACATTGTGCATGTCAAATGACTTACAAGATGAAAAAGAAATGCGAAATATTCACTTCACAATGATCTTTTCTTTCCCTGAAGCACTACAGCCTGTTATTTAATAACTGTAAATAACCTTGTATCATCCAATGTGTTTCCTAAAAAATATAGCTACAAAATGCTGCAAAGCCAGGAACAAGGGTTTTTTTTTTTTTTTTTTTTTTTTTGAGACAGGATCTCGCTCTGTTGCCCAGGTTGGAGTGCAGTAGCGGGAACATAGTTCATGGTGGCTGCAGTCTCCTGAGCTCAAGTCATCTTTCTGCCTCAGTTTCCTTAGTAGCTGGGACCACAGGTGTACACCACTATACTTGGCTAATTTTTAAGTTTTTTGTAGACAGAGATCTTGCTATGTTACCCAGGCTGGTCTGGAACATCATTGGCTGGGCACTGTGGCTCACGCCTGTAATCCCAGCACTTTGGGAGGCTGAGACGGGCTAATCACCCAAGGTCAGGAGTTCAAGACCAGCCTGGCCAACATGGTGAAACCCCGGTCTACTAAAAATATAAAAATAGGCCAGGCGTGGTGGTGGGTGCCTGTAATCCGAGCTACTCAGGATGCTGGGGCAGGAGAATCACTTGAACCCGGGAGGCGGAGGTTGCAGTAAGCTGGGATCATACCACTGCACTAGAGCTTGGGTGATGAGCGAAACTCCATCTCAAAAACAAAAACCAGGAACAAAACATTTTATACCATTAACATGTAAGGTCCAAGTGTCTGAGACTGTCTTAAGCACCTTATAATCCTCACAGTGACAGAGTTCATTAATCTTCAGTTCATATGAAGAATGGCTCATCCATCTCAAACCTGATTATTTTATCAAGAGACCTATATTAAGTTTTTGAAAGTCATCAGTTTGGATTCTAAGGCAAAATTATTTGAAATTTAGTCAACAGGCTGCCTAAAATCAGGACAATTGAAAAGGAAGGTATTTTGAGTTTTAACAACAAAAAGTCATTTGGCCTTCATTTTATACATAACGGTGAAAGGATTCAACTCTGCCACATCCTTTGAGAAACAATCACTTATTAGAATCAAATAAAGTACTGGTTTGAAGACTAAAGTCAAAAAGCAATCAACGGAAGTCTGTACCTGAAAAGCATGCATTATTTGTTTAATCACAGTAGTGATCTAATAAACATTCAGTACATGTTGAATGACTACTTACCGGAGGAATTGTTGAACAGCTTACAACACTGCCTGAAGAAGTGATACTCAGAGTTCTTGTTCTATATTGATTAATAGCTCCCATATTTTCTTCATCTCTAAAATTAACCCACAATTTATCTAGTTAATTTGTATAATGTAATGAATCCCGTTTAATTCATATTATTTTTTGCATACAGAACAACTGAAGACATAAAATACTTTAGAAAGATTATATTTCAAAATTTCTGTGAAGATAAAACTACCTACTGGTAAGTTCTGTATATTAACAATTTGTATTTTCCAGCATTCTGATAGTCACTATCAAAATTTCAAAATAGTAGAATGTTTTAGCCATGGAAATCTATCACCTCCCCACAATTCATCTTCCCTTTTCTAATAATACTTTCCTCTTCTTTCACTGAACTATAGAAGTAATGTTTCTCCCAATGTAAATTTTTGAGACTCTTTCCAATTTCACAAACAACAGATATAATGGAAACAGACAGTACTCACTTTAGTCAGCTCTGCTAAGGTAGGAAAAACTGCAACCTAGAGACTAATGCTTTCACATGGCTCAAAGTTTCAATATATGCAATGTATAAAAACTCAGACAGTATTAGCTCCTAACAATTAATATTTTTCAGCAACATCTGCTGTTCTGCTTTTACTTTGAATAAAAGTTTTGCTCAGCATGTATCCAGAGACTGAGAACAAAATTATTGTTCCCATTCTGAGTTTAAAAGACCATTTAATCCTATGCAGGTTTTCTTCTATCACTGTGGTTAATTTTATATGTTAACTTGACTGGGCCACAGGGTGCCAGATATTTGGTTAAACATTAACCTGGGGATGTCTTTGAGGGTGTTTCTGAATCAGTAAACTGAGTATAGCAGATTGCCTCCCAAGTGTGGGTGGACCTCATCCAACCCATTGAAAACTAATACACTTACTCAAAATCCTGACCCTCTGTCACTCCCGACTCTTAAGCTGCTGATTAAGTTTTCCAAGTTTATTATTCAAATGGCAGTAGCCCTGTGACACAGATACACAGCTACATGAAAAAGGAACAAAACTCTCAGGTTTTGCTTCATGAATAAAACTGTAAAGATAAAGGTAGGCTTAAGATATAAGCCCAAATATGTACTGAAAAATGTTCAATAAATTGCTGATTTACTTTTAATTGTCATATTACTATTTCGAATAAATAAAACCAATATTTCATTAAACTAGTTTGATTCTGAATACGCTATCCCAAATCCAAAAGTTAAGTTTTAGTTTGCTAATCTAAGCTGAGCTTAGTATTTGCCAAAAAAAAAAAAAAATCTTAAAAGAAAACATCATTACATAACTTTAACTATACATGAACAAAGAACTGAAGACTCAAGATTCTGGAGAAAACTCACTGCAGATGTTTCATGTAGAAAGTAATAAAAACATTTATTGCATGTTTTAATTTTTATATGCCTTTATATAACTCAAACACATCAGATGTGTAATTAGGAAAATATATGAGGAATAACTCATCCATCTAAAACCTGATCAATGTATCCAGAGACCTACATTAATTTGAAAGTCATCAGTTTTTCTTTTTTTTTTGAAAGAGTTCTTTGCTCTTGTCACCCAGGCTGTAGTGCAGTGGTGCCATCTCGGCTCACTGCAAACTCTGACTCCCAAGTTCAACTGATTTTCCTGCCTCAGCCTTCCACGTAGCTGGGATTACAGGCACACACCACCACACCTGGCTAATTTATGTATTTTTAGTAGAGACAAGGGTTTTGCCATGTTGGCCAGGCTGGTCTCAAACTCCTGACCTCAGGTATAGGACCTCAGGCCTGCCTCCCAAAGTGCTGAGATTACAGGCATGAGCCAACACACCTGGCCATCAGTTAGTATTTTAAAGCAGAATTACTTGAAATTTAGTTAATAGGCTACCTAGAATCAGGTCAATTGAAAAGGAAGCTATTTTGAGTTTTTAACAAAAAATTATTTGGCTTTCATTTTACACATAAAGATGGAAGAATACAATTCTGCCACATCATTTGAAAAAAAATTCATGTACTAGAATCTAAGAAGGTATCAGTCTCAAGGCTAAAGTTAAAAAGCAATCAACAAACCCAGCGCAGTGGCTCATGCCTATAACCCCAGCACTTTGGGAGGCTGAGGCAGGCAGATCACGAGGTCAAGAAATTGAGACCATCCTGGCCCTATCTCTACTAAAAATACAAAAATAGCTGGGCGTGGTGGCAGATGCCTGTAGTCCCACAGCTACTTGAGAGGCTGAGGCAGAAGAATCACTTGAACCTGGGAGGCACAGGTTTCACTGAGCTGAGATGGTGCCAGTGCACTACAGCCTGGCGACAGTGAGACTCCAAAAAAAAAAGAAAAAGCCATCAACAGAAGTCTATACCTGAAAGGCCTGAATTTTCTGTTTAATGATGACAAGGCAATTAGATGAGGGTATTCATCTTCATGCTCTTCGGAGCCAGCAGAGATTCCGCCTTGAACTGTCTGACCATCTTGCCCAGTATAATTTTCAGTTCTGCTTTTCTCCTCAGAAAATTCAGTTACACAGTTGTTTTCAACAATCTGCCCTTTTATTTCTTCTAAAGCTTGATGGAATTCATTCATTTCAAAACTCTGTGCATCAGCACTCTCTTCTGATAAACCATCTTTTTTTATTTGTCCAGGGTCTCCAGATGGTCTGTAATCACAGCCCTCTGATTCATCTAGAGAGTTCTGTTCACTTTCATTTTCTGACCTATAAACCTCTGTTTTTTCTGCCACTTCTTCATCAGAAAATGAGAATTCAGATCCGTCTTCTGTTGCAATGTTTTTATAATCTGGACCTAATGGATGAAGCAGTTCATCATCTGCCTTCATTTCCTTTGTGTAGCCACTGGCAGAAACCTCCACATCAAGAGTGTCCTCCCTCCTAGAAAAAAAAGGTGGCAAGCATTGAAAGAGAAAAAGTGTTTATCTGAGAGGAGCAAATATCTACTATTCTGATAAATTATGATTCAAGTGAGTTTAATGGCTTATATGTTAAAAATAATTTTCTCTTTCACTAATGTAATATTTAAATGACACATATACCTGTGTCATAAATATTACATAAATATTACAAATTTGAAAGGCATATATGCTGTCATTTTAAGAATAACTGAAAAATGACAATATAAATAAAGGTTATAAAAGTCTCAGCTTATGTTTATTAACTTTGTAAATTAACTTTCAAATGGGGCTAAAGATTTCCTTCAGATAATGTGGCTCCTCCCATATCAGAAAATATCTTTTAACTGTATAAAATAAATATGAGAAAACTGAACTTTGAGAATACACATATTATGTCTTGAGAATCAATTAAAGATACCTCCTGCTTTCAATAAAGGAACACAAATTTAAATGAACATTTGGTGTGACTCCTTATGAATGAGTTACTCACATAGCACCCAAAATAGAATTAAAAGTTCTTGAATTTATAAGAAATTAGATATGTTCCTTCCTAAAATTCAGTAGCAGTGCCTTTATGGACCAATTGCAAGAATTTTCAAGTTTTTAAATTTCAGTTATGTACTACAGAGCAATGACATCTAACAGTGATTGTTAAAATTTGAAAATTTTTTTAGATGAAAAATTTTTAGAAATACACAGACAAGATTAACTGTCCTATCATGTAAAGCAATGGAGAGTACAAACCTGATATCCCTAAAGGTTGGAAAAAGCTCACTTTCATAGCTGAAACGTTTCAAGAAGAAATCTCTAATGCATTTAACATCTCTGTCAAAATACCTGCAAAAGTAAGGATCATTTATGATATAGCCTTTATTGCTCATCTTTCTTCTTCTTAGCCAACGACAATATCTTTCTTAGTTAATGGTACTGCTGCTCCTTAAACAAGGAGATAAAAGATGTTACACAAAAGAAAAAAAACCATACAAATGAGTTACCAGTGTGTTCGAAAAACTAAAATCCAAGGAAATCTCAAGGATACTAATCTGTCAATGCCATGCAGTTCCTATGGTTAGGAAAGTCAAGGTTTTCTCATAGTTACTGTTATGTTAGATACACTAGGGAAAGACAAGTGTGAACTCCAGGAAGTAAGATTATGGGCCTACGGTTTGGGGATAGGTTTCTACTTATCCTCTTTGTCCTGAGTCTGGCTATGCTTCCCATCAGCAATACTCAATAGAACCCCTAGCAACTGAAGGAGCAGAAGATAAAAAGATATTAATATTAAATAAGTTTGGAGACTACTGAATTATGTTTATGTATCTTTGTTATATCCAGTAGCAAATTTGCAGTAACACCCAAAGGATAAATGCTACAGCTTATAAAAATAATCTGAAGACAGGTTTATCTGGACCAAAAGTCGAATAATTTCTGAATATCAGATTGCCTATAAAGCAGCAAAAATGGATTCAATTCTCTAGATTTCCAGACAAGGAGAATAAGGACAGGATAACGTGGAATTGACTATCTCTTTGTGAAAGATGAAGTTTGGAAACAGGAACACAATGCCTCTCCTCTTTGCTCATAGGGCATTCTGGGAAAGATACTAATACATTTTAAAAAGACTATTTTTATATGTTTACATCTCCCTATGAGACAGTAACTTCTTCTAAAGCATATACAGGGCTTATTTATCCCTCGGTCTCTAGCACTTACCACAGCTCCTTGGCCCCAGTACTGTTCATAAAAACTGAAATTAAATTACCATGTCTCCCCATAGAATGATGCCGCCTAAACCTAGAATGTCATAATCTGCCACACTCTGGTGGCTCCTAGATGTTCCTTTATTGTGTGACTGTGTTATTCCTTATTAATAAAAATGGTGATTAGTCATCATCCAAAGAGTACTGACCACCTGAGTGCCAGGCATTAGTCTTTTAGTATTTTGTTGAAAACATTTTTAAAATTTATTTTCAAATGACATTTCTTTCTATAGCATATGTATACACATTTTCTACTGAAAACCAGGATGAAGACAAACTTCACTTAACAAAACCACTTCAAGCTCAATCTCTGCAAGAATTAATATACTCTATTATATAACTGCTACTAGTTGTTAGTTGAGGAAAAAGAAGTTTCTCATAAAGCTTGTAATAGAAATTTAAAAAATTCTTAGTTACACTCAGTTGAATCATGAACTACAAGCAAATAAAGGAAAAGGTCTTATTTCATGACTTGGCTGGTTTAAATAAATAATGTGAAGAATATGATTATTATAGTATATAGTGATTCTGCTCTGTGTCAGAGATAAAGTTTTATGTGAATTTTTTTCTAATAGTAAAAGCTAAAAGTGACAAGAGATAATTATCATTGGTTTGAACAATTGAGTCTAGTCCAAAACCACAACTTTTATTCAGATCTTTGAGTTTACTGAGTTATGCTTGGTGAATCTCTCTTGGAGGCAATCATAGAACAGCAAGAAAAAGGGAAAGGCAAAAGTGGTTCTAGGGTTCTTTTTCAGTCATAATTTTTGCTTGGATAGATCCCAAACAAACACATTCACATCCAGAATCAATAATAGCATATACATACCACTCAGCATTGGGATGAGACGTCGAAACCATCTGCGGAAAATCAATCATGGTGATATGGTCATTTTCATCCAAAATGAGATTAAATTCATTAAAATCTCCATGAATCAGCCCATGATTTGCAAGTTTGACAATTAGTTCCATTGCTTCATTATATACTGATGCAGGATCTTCAACATGGTGTATCTGACATCTGAAAGTATTTTAAGCATGAAAACAGATTATTTGTATTCGTTTATGGTTTTAATCAAAGTATGTATGCATGTGAACATATATATCATTTCCATGCCCTGTCTCCCCAGTATTTTTTTCTCATTCCCATCAGCGCACAGATATAATATCTCCAATCTATTAAAAAAAAAAAAGCCACACTCTGCTTCAATTCTGTATATTTTTTCCACTGCCTTTTTTGGATCTTTACAGCCAAACTTGTCTACATGTGCTTTTTCCAATTTGTTTCCTCCCACTCTCTAATAAACCCATTTCAAACAGGCTTTCGTCCACCTTATTTCAGAGAAATAGCCTTTGTTGAGACTACCACTGACTTCAATGTTGCTAAATTCAGAGGTCAATTCTTAGTCCTCATCATAAGTGGTCTGTCAGTTGACCTCTTTGAAACATTCTCTTCACTTAACTCTTGGGACACCATTCTCTCCAGGTTTTCTTCCTTCCTCATAGATCATACCTTCTTGGTCTTTTCTTTTAGTATTTCATTTTTTTCCTTTACCTCTGAATTCTGGAATTCCTCAAAGGTCAAGCCTCTGGCCTTCTATTTTCTCTTATTTAGACTCACTTTTGGTGATCTCATCTAGGCTAATGGTGTAAATACCATATATACACTGATTTTAACCTAGACTTCTCAAACTCTCAGGCATCTCAAACTTACCATATCCAAAATGGAATCTCTGATTCTGTCCCACCCTCCAACTCCTCCAAAATGCTCTTCCTGTAGCTCTCCTATTTCTGTACATGGTAGCTTTTTCTCTCCAATTAATTTGCTACTCAGGCCAAAAACCCTGGTGTCACCATTGACTCACCCCTTCCTTTACATCCATATCCAATCCCAAATCATGTTGGTTCAACCTGCAGAACACATTCAGAATCTGGCCACTTTTCATCACCTTCATAACTATCACTGTAATCAGAACTACAACTATTTCTTGCCTAGATTGTGATAATAGCCTCCTATCTTTTCTTCCTAATTCTGCCTTTGTCTCCCCAGAGTCTATTAATTCAGCAGGCAGAGTGACCCTCTTAAAACATTGAGATCACTGACTGATGAGATCACCTCTTCTCTGCTCAAAATATTCCCACTCCAATGACTTCTAATCTGAATCAAAATTTGATAAGGTTTTACCTTATCAGTGAGACTTTTCCTGACCACCCTACATAAAACAGTAGTCTCCCGTCCCCAGTAAGTACTTCTTTTCTCCCTTACTCTGCTTTATTTTTATCCATAGTGCTTACTAACAGCTGATACACATTTGCTTTAGTTAGTCCATACTGTCAGAATAAAACTGAGTTTTTAATTTGTCTTTTGAGTCTGTTCCTTTAAATCAATTTCTAACTTCCCAGAGACAATATTTCATTAACTAAAAAAAAATTTATTATAAACCCTGAAATTTATTTCTCAGAATTCATGGCTTTAAGAATAATGAATACTTACAGTGGATAACCATTTATGAGTTCCATGACCACTGCATGACGATTGTAATCAACTGGCTTTGGAACTGGAAATTTTCTCTCATACAGTGCCTAAAACATAGCAAAACAGGTGTAAGCTAATGAAGAGGTCATTACTCTTTAAAGAACAATAAAAGTAAACACACCTTTCTATAGCAAGAAAAACACACAATCGTTTATAAAATTATAGTTAACACAGGGTTACTTATGCATAACTTATTTATTCACTGTGGCAGAGTAAGCCATACATAAAAAACGAATTTTAAACAAAAGTTTGAATTCACTTTTCTGCCAAAATGAACATTTACAAAATTGAGTATTAAAAAGTTTCTAAACACTTTATAATTAAAAAGTCCCCAACAAGCTTACAGTCTCTTAGGGGTATATCATTTCCTATTTTGTAATTCTCTGGCATTTGTTGAAATGTACTGAAAATATTCATATTAGAAACAAATTGTAATTTAGGAAATACTCATCTTCTGACATATTAGGAAATGAGGCATTCTAAGAGAACAGAAATATTGGTTTATAGGGTACCGACCTTTTTCTCCAGACCACAATATGCAATATAAATCTATTACGTGAAAAACATATACGCTGTTGTAGGCTGAGTCACTGAGTTATTTAAGACTATCCATACATCTTTTCCCCTAAGCTTACTGTCTTCAACCTTATTGTTCACAAAGCCCTGCTATTACTTCCTTGAACAATAGTAGGTATTCACCTTAGATTTATGCCCTTTGACATTTAAAATGCTAGTATTAGGAATGGTAAAAACTGCAATTACTTTTGCACCAACATAGTGTAGGGAGGCATTTGTTATTTATACCTCATTACTCTACCGGTGTTCTAGTTCTTGCAATCATACCTATCCTATTCTATGTACCAATACCAGACTAACCTGCTGATGCCAATACTCCATTTAAAAAATATACACTGGCTGTGTTTTCAGTTTGAACAACTCTTCCTGGTTTTCAAAACTCTTTAATCCACTTGTACAGTCCTACGTCTCCCAATATTCTCTCCAATACGCACCGAGAAATGCAGTCAGGACAGTCACCTCAGTGTCACCTAAACACATAGGGTTCACATTTATTCATGTATTTGCCCATACTGGCTTCTCTGCCAAAATACACTGTCTTAGAGTCAAGTAATATCCAAGCTTCTTGGCTCCACTCAGCTCCTACTCACTACCTGAAACTTCCTTCATCAACTATTCTATCATTTACAAAAGTTTCTACAAAGTCAGTATAATTTTTTTTTTTAAATTGTTCTTAGACTTGCAGTGGTGTCTCACGCTTAAAACCCAAGTACTTTGTGAGACTGAGGTGGGTGGATCTCTTGAGCCCAGGATTTTGACAGCAGCCTGGGCAACTCTGCAAAGCAGGCATAGTAGCAAATGCCTGTGGTCCAGATACTTGGGAGGCTGAGGTGGGAGGATAGCTTGAGCCCAGGAGGTCAGGGCTACAGTGAGCTGTGATCATGCCACTGCATTCCAGCCTGGGGAGAGTGGGACCTTGTCTCAAAAATAAAGAAATAGATAGATAGATTCTTTGTTTGATGTGTTCTTTGATAGATGTGTGTTTGTGTTATCTTCTCAACTTTAAGACACAGATTGTACTGGTTATTTCTTTGGCATCCACTCCTTTACCCTACACTACCCTCAGCAATTAATTTCAAAAGGCTGTCTCGCTTACCTTCTGTGAACAAGAACCAAACTACTTCCCACTTCCCAGAGATTTTTATTTGCTTTGTTTTTAAGTAATTTTTTTCAACATAGACCATTTTGAACATAACTTGGCAGATCAATAGCAAGTGATAACCTTAAACATTACGAATATTTGTCTACAACTTGTGCTATAGCCTAGACCTCATGTTATAGCCTAATCTTTATCTTATTGTTTCTCTCTTATGAAAAATCAATATATTTAAGGAATGTATTTATGTGCAACCAGATTCCATTCCTATACCTTCAATATAAATATCCTGAAAAACACCTACTACAGTTTTGGGAAAATATGTAATGATCCTTACCAAACTGCTAATTTACTGACTATTATAAGACATAAACTATTAGTATAAGACAATAAATACACAACATGTATGCTATCAGTATTACTAGTTTATACTGTCTTAAGAAATCTCCCATGATTAGTAAACATTTAAGCATATAATATAACCTACTCAAACAACAACAAATTGAATCCTCAAGAAACAGGTGTTTACACACTGTGCCAATCTTCCATTCAAATTTTTTTTTAAAAAATGAAGATAAATTATGACGAACCCTATTGGCAGAATAATGAAAACACAGTATTATCTTTTGTTTAACCTAGTTATTATTGAATATATTTTATTTGGCTATTATATTTAACAAATCTATGCTGAACTTAATTTTGAAGGCAAAAAGTTAAAAATAGAAGATTTTCTTTAATGTCAGAATAGAGTACAAACGTAATTCATCGCTACCATAAAATATGTAGTTAAGCTGCAATACTTGAGGAAACCGCAGAGGTAAGCACACCTGAAGTAAAATGAGAAGGCCTAACCCTGAGAAAACCATCTTTGCAATTATGGCATTTCATCTGCAGGATTAAGTATTTTTTTTCTATTTGTACAAATGTATGAGGTACATGTAACATTTTGTTAAGTATACATGAGGAGTGATCAAGTCAGGGTATTTAGTGTGTTCATCTCCTGAGTAAAATACATTTTGTTTACTATAGTCACCCTACTCTGCTATCAAACATTGAATGTATTCCTTCTAACTGTATGTTTGTACCCTTTAGCCCACTTCTCTTCATCCTTTCCTCTTAGAAACTAAAGATTTTTACCTTTTTTTTTTTTTTTTTTTTTGAGACAGTTTTGCTCTGTTGCCCAGGCTCAAGTGCAGTGGCATGATCTTTACTCACTATAACCTCTGTCTCCTGGGTTAAAGTGATTTTCCTGCCTCAGTCTTCCAAGTAGCTGGGATTACATGTGCCCACCACCACACCTGGCTAATTTTTGTATTTTTAGTAGAGATGGGGTTTCACCTTGTTGGCCAGGCTGGTCTCCATTATGTCAAGTAATCTGCCCGCCTCGGTCTCCCAAAGTGCTGGTATTACAGCCACTGTGCCCAATTTTTACCATTTTTAACATTCAGATAAGTCTATAAATGGCATTTGTTCCATTATGTGAAACAAAAAACTAAATAACTTATCTGAGACACTAAGGTTTCCATGGATGGTAATTACTTAGTGTTTTCAATTAGAAACAGACATATGTATAGTTATATGTATTGAATAGATATATATACACCCACACATAAATATTTGTGAGCTAACAGCATCATTAACTATTTTTGGTTATTCCATCTTGTCAATATTATAGAATGTGCTGCCCTTATGCATTAATAACAATTAAAATACCTTAACATAGAAGGGAATTACTTAAAGAGCCCAAACAATCAACAGAATTATTTAGGGATTGAGTCTGTTTGTAGGCATTGAGTCTGAGGTTAGAGAGATGTGGGGGCCACAGAATCATACTTGACATTAAGGCCTTTGAGACACATGTATTATTTGGCTAAAACATGCATGACTATAAAATAAATACCTTCATATAGGCAAATTCCTTCATGGCAGAGAGACGAGATAAATAAAGCCAAGAAACATTATGCCTATGTTTATGATAATCACGTTTGTTTTTCAGATTTCGAAATGAGGTTCTTCCTAGTCTGTGAAGCTTTAATGCAAATTGCTGTCCTTCTTCATTTGCAACAATGTAAATATCTAGAGACAAGATTTCAAAAAACAGCATTATCACATGTTTATTCCAATCACGTAAAACAATTCTAACTTTGTCTAATTTTATTTGTATCAAAAACGTCATTTTTCCTAATAAAGGCTGAATATCCCTTATCTAAAACTTTCAGACCAAGAGTGTTCTGAATTTGGGAATATTTGGACACAAATAGTGAGATATCTTGGAAGTTATTAGAAGAAAATTCCTGGTATAAATGAATTTTCAGTGACAGACTTTCAGATAAAATAATAACCTACTAATTAAGGGTGCCTTCTGATTTGTATTGCTTCCAACCAACTTTCCAATTTACTGTTTGTTTGGAAAAAAGGGAAAATTAAAAGAAAATATGCTTTCTGAAGGGAAAACATAAATTAAAGCAAAGCAAATACTTTCTATAGTACTATCAGCACTTACCTGATTCTTTGCCAACACCCATCTGGTTTCCAACAGACTCAACTACTTGCCTAGAAGAAAGTGTTTTCAAAGCTAGGTAATCATATCCTGCATTTGTCAACCGGTAGCCTTGGACAGCTACACAAAATCAAAGGAGAAAAACCATATTTCAGTTACACTGTATAACCAAGTCACGTAAGTTCAACTCAAAAGAAATATTTAACAATGGAAAATCTTTATTGGAAGACTCGGGCTCACAAACTTCCAATTTCTTCCTATAATTTGCATTTCTTCTTCAGTGTACTGTTAATTAAAGTGTGACCTACAGACTGAGGTCTATACGTTTGTGATGAGATAAAAGGAGGCATTTAAGTTCAATTTTTATATTAATTTGACCTAGAATTTATGTCTGATTTTGCATATCTGTTATCCATTTCATTTTTCTAGTATTTTTTTTTATTTTATAAAAGTAAGGATCTGTGATAGGTTGGAAAAAACGAATCCCTCACCACAGATGGTTTAAGAAGTAATTCTCTAGAGTATGACTGCTGATTGTATTTTCCAAAGATGGTAGCCACAATATCTCTATGCTACATGCTCTTCTGCAGTTCTGCGGTACTCTACATGCTCTTCTGTGGTACCCTACATGTTCTTATTACCACTCTTTCTCCACTTCTTTTTGAGCTGGTAGTGTCCTGTGATTGTTTTGATTAATAGGATATGGCAGAAGTATGTTTTGTCAATTCTTCGTCTAATGCTTTACTAGTCTGGCAACTTCTACTTCTTGCCTTTTGGAACACTTGCTCTGGGGGAAACCAATTACCTGAAAAATCACAAATGATGCCTCAAAATACTTACTTTTGGTACACTCCCAAGCTATGAGTTTATGTTTCACTAATTACCTGAAAAATCACAAATTGTGCCTCAAAATACTTACTTTTGGTACGCTCCCAAGCTATGAGCTTATGTTTCACTAATTCTCTTAAAACTTTATTACAGCCACCATGTTTAAGGCTGGCTATAGAAGCAATCAAACTGCCAGGAACAATTTCATGGTTCTTCATGCCCATTTCAACCTGAAATTAAGGGAATCATTATGTAATCATAATCAACACAAAACTTTATCTATCAAAACCCTGCTAAGAAATGAACTTCTCCTTGAAACTTTCCTTACTATGCAATTCTCCAACTAATTCTGAGACATAATCACTTCCATCTCTGAAACTATTTTAAAATTGCAATTTGAGATCTAATCACTGGTATTTATATTGTCTTTCCATTTCAAGAGTAGGAATTTTGAGTGCTAGACATACTGATGACCTTCGGGAAACGCTAAAATATTTGATAACATCTAAACATTTGTCTTTAAAAACTACAGATATGCAAGTATTTATTAAGCAGGTATTTAATGAGAAAGTACTACATGTAGGCATTGTAGAGGATTTAAAAAAATATATATAAACATTTTTTCCCCTGAGGAATTTTTATCTCATGATGGAAATTTTTGAAAATGGTATACATCTAAGTTTATTAGAAGGTAAGAAGTGATAAGTGCTTCAAAAGGTAGCTCAGGGCAAATGAATACTTCTAGCTTAGGGATCAGTTCGAAGGAAGATGCAAAACTAGAGACTGACTTTTTTTTTTTTTTTTAGACGGAGTTTTGCTCTTGTTACCCAGGCTGGAGTGCAATGGCACGATCTTGGCTCACCGCAACCTCCGTCTCTTGGGTTCAGGCAATTCTCCTGCCTCAGCCTCCTGAGTAGCTGGGATTACAGGCACGTGCCACCATGCCCAGCTAATTTTTTGTATTTTTAGTAGAGACAGAGTTTCACCGTGTTGACCAGGATGGTCTCGATCTCTTGACCTTGTGATCCACCCGCCTCGGCCTCCCAAAGTGCTGGGATTACAGGCTTGAGCCACCGCGCCCGGCCACGAGACTGACTTTTAAAAGATGTGGGCATACAGAGAAAACAGACAAGGAGCTATTAGTGAAAGAAAAAGATTTAAAAATGGCACATATGCAAGAAAGTACTGACCACAGAGAACAGCTGAGTACAGTGGCAGCTCAGATGGGACAGCACATAGAATTCATGCAAAGGCGGCTGGAAGATACTTCTAGCATACAGAAGGCATTGAAATGCAGACCAAAGAATTTTATATTTTACCCTGAGGAAAGCAGGAAACTCTTGAAAATGTTTAGGCATGGAATACGCATGAACAGGATTATTTTAAGGACATTAATCTACCAGAAATATGCAAATTGGCTTAGAGATGGCAAAATCTGAGGGGGTACTCTGGAGAACTAAGACAGAAGTCCAGCTCAGAGGAAAGAGCAACCAGAACAGGGCAAGTGGTAGTGGTGCTGGAAGGAAGGAATTAAAGATCTTTAGGAAGTATTATGGGAGAGCTTGGCAATTAGATGCCAAGGGTATGAAAGGTAAAGGTAAAGGGAAGGGTAAAGGGAATGAAAAGCCACAGCCGCAAGTGAAGAGGAAAAAGAAGTTTTAAGATTATATACATATATATATATATATATATATATATTTATTTTTTTTTTTTTCTTTTATGGAGTTTGGGAAAAGATAAAGGGGGTAGAAAAAATTGAATTTAGTTTGAGCACATAGAGTCAAGTAAAAACATTCGAAGGAAAATTGGAAAGGGGTCTGCACTTAGGAATGAAGTTGTAATCAGAAGGAAAAATAATCAATTATTTTATAGAGATGAGAGTTGAAGACGTGAAGTGGATGCAAAAAGGAATGCTAGGGAGAAGAATTCTGGGGCAAGTTCATATTGAAAGCCAAGGGCAGCTAGTCTAACAATGTTTATTGATATAGGAGGAGCCAAAAAGGGAAGAGAGGCCCAAGGAAGGGTACCAACACTGGTGAGATGCAAATGAGACTGGAATGTTACATTTAATGACTAAGTCATTTCTTGGTGAGCTTTAAAAATAATTTAAATATTGCAGAGCCAATGTTTTGCAAGATAAATCTGGCATCATTCTGATGTCTCACCAAAACCTTAACTTTTAAATTTAACGTATTTTCTGTGCTTTGTCTCTGCCTCCTCCATCCTGTAACACTCTTAATTTTGACCCCTACTTCTTCAGAGGCATTAAGGAATGCACGCGCTGAGGAAGCAGAAAAAGAAGGTATCTTTCAGAGGTGACAGGTTTCATAAGGGAAATCTAACTGATTAGAAGAATCTACATGAGGAGAAAGTAAAGTGTGTTCCAAATTTCACACTGACTTTGCATTTGAGAGTTTAATCCTTAAGTGCTATTTAATTAAAAAATACATAATACAAGAGTCGGTGTGACTCATATCACATATCCTATTACATAATTACATAACATAGGTCGTCCTTATCATGGGGTTCACTCCTTACCAAAAGATAACGGCTCCTAAATAAATGTACTACTTTATTGTACAAATGTCTACATCTGTGTATTAATTTCTGGGCCATAAGACTAAGGCCATAAAATCATATTGTGTTACTCCCCTGATTAAAAACATTCAGTGGTTATCCCCACACTCTTTACCAAGCCTGCAAGGCTCTGTAGTACATAATCTGGCTCTCACCTTTTCCAGCTATAGCTCCAACCATTAGTGTCTCACTTTGCTCCAGCCACACTGGCCTTTCCTCTCTTCAACGACTTTTCTGTCTTAGGGACTTTGCACTTATTACTCCTTTTTTCTCTGCCTCCAGCTCTTTCCAAGGACTTCACCGGGCTGTCTCCTTCTCACACAGCTCCTATTATTCCCCCATTCATTCTTTCAATTACCGAATATTTATTTATTCATTGTCTACCAAAGGCCAATAACTTGTGCCCCTCCTCTCCCATAATACTTCCTAAAGATACATATGCTTTCTATTCCATTATCCTTTATCAACTTCATAGCGCTTATCCATTACCCTACTTATTCGTTTACTTGATGATCTGTGTCTCTCTCTCCACTTGTCCGTTTTGTACCTCGTTGAACCTCCTAATGTTGCTACTAAAAACCCGACAAATACGTGTTGATTAAATGAATCACAAAAACTGCTAGGCGACTGAATCTATTAGGGAAGTCAATATTACCAAATCTCAGGAGGAACCTTAAACTTTTCACAGCTGGTAGGAAGCTCAGAATCAGAGAAGTTTCCAGGCCACAAAGATGCGAGCATTTCTCTTTAAGCACAAGGCGAACAGCAGCAGAAAAGAAGAAAATAATTAGAAGACGGGGCCTTTGCTCTGTTTGGGGTTAGGTAAGCTTCCAAACAGCTTTTTAAAAATCCAACTCTGATACTCTGTTCTCCACTCCCAACTTCTGCCACGTCCCGGGTCCCAGAGAGGGCCTGCTCAGATCCCGGAAAACTTCGAGGAACAGGAAGAACACTGTGGGAAGGGACAGGAAGAATAAGAACGGCGGGTTCCTTACCGCGGTCAAGACCCTGAAGTCATCTCGGCTCATGTAACGCAACTTGGCCACATTCACCTTCCCCATGGCTGCCTCAGTCCGGACCTAGACGCCTTTCACACGACAGCCGGAAAGCGCAGAGCAAGTCGCTATTCCGGCCTCTTACGCAGTTTACAGTAGCCAAATGCCTCGCGCATGCGCTGTATCTTATTATAGGTCCTTGTTAATAGCTAGAAGAGCTAATCTCATTGGTATAGGAAAATAAAACTACTTGTACGTTTTATGAAGCATATAGTATAGAACAAGGGAGTATTTTATTTTTGAGAAATTTCTGCGTTATGGCTGAGTTGTCGGAGTGCAGATGTTCTCCACAATATGCCTTTTTTCCCCCCATATCTGTCAGGACTTGCTGCCTGAATGACGCGTGCCGCCGCACACAGCAAAGTGGTGACTTAATCGGAGGAGGAAATTTTTCCCGCAAACAGCTAGTTTAGGCAAAGTGACTACTAACCTGAGCCACAGTCCAGACAACCAAATCTGTTAAAGGTAAAGAGGACTGTATAAAAAGGACTGTAATCACACAAGCACGCCCTCCACTCCTAATTGTGCCAGCTCCGGACAGCCCCGGAGCGGCTGGTTAATGGAACTCTTGTGCTTGCTAAGTACTTCTCTTAAATTGTCCGCCAGGCTTTGGAGTGCGCCTGCGCGGTTTGGGGTTGGGGTTTAACGTGAGACGTGGATAGCGCCGCGGTCTTTACTCTCAGGGAAGTGGGCATTTTGATAGTTTAGCCTGGCCTGCGCCGGTAGGACTTTGAGGTCCCAAGAGCAATTCAAGGATTTTAGAATAGTTACCCATGCTGGCTCTGCAACTCCGGAGCGGGACTGTAAGCTAGTTGTACCCCGACAAAGAGGATGACTATGATCTGCCCCGTGTTTCCAGGTAGGATAGTTAGTGCTCTGAAATCACAGAATGGAAAAGGAAAAACTGCCTTTTATTCCCTCTGTATTCAAGCCTTTGGCTGTTTTTACTTGAATGCAGGATATCTTTGATCAACCATATTCAACTAATGATCAACCATATTCAACCAATGAACATCTCCATTTAAATGAAGTTTTTCTTTCTGTACTTGTTAGAGAAAGTCGAGCCAAGACGCACAGAGACTGAGAGACAAAAGAGAATCTCTTTATTGGAGCTCCAGCTGACGGTGGCCTTACTGCCCGTAATTGCTGCCAGCCCCCCACAAAGGAAAATAACTTGCTTATATAAATATTGCGCAGGACGATAAGGCAGGGAAAAAAGGGGTTTAAACAAAGACAGTCAGTCATTAACGTGTGACAAGTTTTACAACCTTGAGAATACATACACTCCAAGCGGTATCTCATTCCCCCCACTGGCAGCTGGGGAAGAAAACAGGTTTTAACAGAAATATGCTTGTGGGCTGAGGGTACAAAAATATGTTTGGGTGCCTTATCTTGGGAGGAGGTTATGCTGGGTCTGCTTTAACTGCAGGCAATTTTAGGCTGGAGGGTTGCTCCTCTGTTCTTTATAATTATTTTTGTAGCCTACTCTTAAAGCTTGTTCTCTATTAAAAGTTAATTTCTATTTTTGTTTTTCCTACTCATAGTTACATAAGAAGACATAAAAATGATTTATTTTTTTATTTTTATTCTTTTGTTTTTGAGACAGAGTCCTGCTCTTTCGCCCAGGCTGAAGTACAGTGGCTCCATCTCAGCTCGCTGTAACCTCCGCCTCCCTGATTCAACAATTCTCCTCCCTCATCCTCCTGAGTAGCTGGGATTATAGGCGTGCACCACCACGCCCAGCTAATTTTTCTATTTTTAGCAGAAACAAGGTTTCACCCTGTTGGCCAGGCTGGTCTCAAACTCCTGACCTCAAGTGATCCACCTGCCTCAGGCTCCCAAAGTACTGGGATTACAGGCATGAACCACCACGCCTGGCTGAAAAGTTTTTAAAGAAACCAAGTGACGAACTTTATTAGTACAAATTTATGGGGTACATGAGAAATTTTTTTACATGTATTTAGGGTGTCTATCATCCAAATACAATATATTTTTGTTTAACTATAGTTACCCTATACTACTATCAAACATTAATATATTCCTTCTATCTGACTGCATATTAAAAAAATTTTTTAATATGACCCTGGAAGCACAGACAACAAAAGCAAAATAGACAAATGGGATGTCATCAAACTGAAAAACTTCTGCACAGCAAAGGAAATGATTAACAAAGTAGAGAGAAAACCCATAGAAGGGAGGAAAATATTTGCAAACCATACCTCTGATAAAGGGATTCATATCCAAAATGCATAAGGAACTCAACATATTTAAAAAATGGGCAAAGGACCTGAATAGACATTTATCAAAGATGACACACAAATGGCTAATTGGTACATGAAAAAATGCCCAGCATCACTAATCATTAGGGAAATATAAATTATAACTACAATGAAATAGCACCTCAAACCTGTTAGGATTTTTTTTATAAAAAAGATGAAAATAACTGTTGTGGTGGATACAGAGAAAGGGTACTTTTATACATTGTGGGTGGGAATGTAAATTAGTATGACCATTATAGAAAATTGTGTAGTGGGTCCTCAAAAATGTAAAATAGAATTGCCTTGTGATTCAGCAATCCCATTTCTGAGTATATGTCCAAAGGAAATGAAATCAATATGTCAAAGAAATATCTGCACTCCCCTATTAATTGCAGCATTATTCACAATAGTGGACATGTGGAATCAACCTAAGTATCCATGGACAGATGAATAAAGAAAATTTGCTATATATACATAATGGAATATTATTCAGTCTTAAAATGAAAGATATTCTGTCATTTGCAACAATGTGGATAAACCTGGAGGACATTATGCTAAGGAAAATAAGCCAGGCACAGAAAGACAAATAGCATGATCTCACTTATATGCGGAATCTTAAAAAGGTTGGACTCAAAATAGTAGAGAGTAGAATGATGGTTACCAGAGGCTGGGAGTAGGCAGAGAGGGAGACAATGGGGAATTGCTGGTTGAAGGGTATAACGTTTCAGATAGACAGGAGGAATAACTTTTGTGAATCATTGCACAGCAGGGTAACTATAGTTAATAAGGTATATTTCAATATAACTAAGAGTGAATTTCAAATGTTTCACCACAAAAAGTGATAAGTAAGTGAGGTGGATGTGTTGAATGGCTTGATTTGATCATTTTATTTTCTTTTTATTTTGATAGGTTTTTGGTGAACAGGTGGTATTTGGTTACATGGATAAATTATTTAGTAGCGATTTCTGAGATTTTATTGCGCCCATCACCCAAGCAGTGTACTCTGTATCCAATGCGTAGTTTTTTAATTCTTCACTACCCCTTCCTGCCCTTTCTGCCTGAATCCACAAAGCTCGTTGTATCATTCTTAAGGCTTTGCATCCTCACAGCTTAGCTGCCACTTAATGAGTGAGAACATAGGATGTTAAGTTTTCTATTCCTGAGTTACTTCACATAGATGGAGTCTCCAATTCCATCCAGGTTGCTACAAATGCCATTATTTAGTGCCCTTTTATGGCTGAGTAGTATTCCATGGTGTTTCTGTCTCTCTCTCTCTCTCTCTCTGTGTGTGTGTGTGTGTGTGTGTGTATGTATCACATTTTCTTTATCCACTTGTTGACTTATGGACATTTGGGTTGGTTCCATATTTTTGCAACTGCAAATTGTGCTGCTATAAACATGCATGTGCAAGTATCCTTTTTGTATAATGACTTCTTTTCCTCTGAGTAGATATCCAGGAGTGGGATTGCTGGATCAAATGGTAGATCTACTTTCAGTTCTTTAAAAAATCTCCAGATTGTTTTCCATAGGGGTTGTACTAGTTTGCATTCCCACCAGCAGTGTAAAAGTGTTCTCTTTTCACCACAACCATGCCAACATCTATTATTTTTTTGATTTTTGTATTATGGCCATTCTTGCAGGAATAAGGTGGTATCGCATCATGGTTTTGATTTGCATTTCCCTGATCAATGGTGATGTTGAGCATTTTTTCATATGTTTGTTAGCCATTTATATATCTTCTTTTGAGAATTGTCTAGTCATGTCCTTAGCCCACTTTTTGATGGGATTGTTTATTTATTTTTGCTTGCTAATTTGTAAGTTCCTTGTAGGTTCTGGATAGTAATCCTTTGTCAGATACATAGCTTGTGAAGATTTTCTCCCACTCTGTGGGTTGTCTGTTTACTCTGTTGATTATTTCTTTTGCTGTTCAGAAGCTTTTTAGTTTAATTAAATTCCATCTAATTATCTTTGTTTTGTTGCATTTGCTTTTAGGTTCTTTTTCATAAAGTCTTTGCCTGAGCCAATGTCTAGAACGTTTTTCTGATGTTAACTTCTAGGATTTTTATGGCTTCAGGTCTTAGATTTAAGTCTTTTATCTGTTTTGTGTTGATTTTGTATAAAGGGGAGAGAGGATCCAGTTTCATTCTTCTTCATGTGGCTTGCTAATTATCACAGCACCATTTATTGAATAGAGTGTCCTTTCCCCACTTTATATTTTTGTTTGCTTTGTTGAAGCTGTAAGTATTTGGCTTTATGTCTGGGTTCTCTTTTCTGTTCCATTGGTCTACATGCCTATTTTTATACCAGTACCATGCTGATTTGGTGACTATAGCCTCATAGTATAGTTTGAAGTTGGGTAATGTCATGCCTCTGGACATTCCAGGAATTTGTCCATTGGTGATCATTGGTAAAAAACCTAAAAGATTAGGTTTTTTAGTTTCTGCATGTAAAGATGTTCATAGTAGCCTTGAATGATCTTTTGTATTTGTGTGGTGTCAGTTGTAATATCTCTTGTTTTGTTTCTTACTGAGCTTATTTGTATTTTCTCTCTTTTTTTCTTGGCTAATATTGCTAATGGTCTATAAATTTTATTTATTTTTTCAGAGAACCATATTTTGGTTTCATTTATCTTTCGTATTGTTTTATTTTTGTTTCAATTTCATTTATTTCAGCTCTGATCTCGGCTATTTCCTTTCTTCTGCTGGGTTTGTGTTTGGTTTGTTCTTTTTTCTTTAGTTCCTTGAGGTATGACCTTAGATTGTCTGTTTGTGCTCTTTCAGACTTTTTGATTTTGGTATTCAGTACTATGAAGTTTCCTCTGAGCATGGCTTTTGCTGTATCCCAGGAGTTTTGAT